GACAGAATAATTACATAAGCCAACGTATAACGTGTGTTTTATATATACAGTCTGTACATCAGGGGTGTCCAACTCCAGGCCTGGAGGGCCGGTGTCCTGCAGGTTTAGATGTGTTCTTGATCCAACACAATTTAAATGACCTCCTCAACATGTCCTGAAGTTCTCCAGAGGCCTGGTAATGAACTAATCGTGTGATTCAGGCGTGTTGACCCAGGGTGAGATCTAAACCTCCCTCGAGGCCTGGAGTTGGACACCCCTGCTGTAAAGGTCAACTGAGGCTGATTTAAATGTTCAGTTTTGACTTGATGGTATTTTGTCAATATGAACCAAAATCTCTGAGGAGTCTTTTCACCACCTCGTTGAATCTATGCCATAAAGAATTAAGACAGCTAGTAATAGGACAATAGTCAGTGTCTACCTGTTGTATTATGTTTATTTTATTAAATATTAATCACCCAATTGTTGTGTACCTTTGAGTCGTGATCCTGGAGTTTTCCAGAAAAGGGTCCCTTCACGGATAAGTCTCCTTCGGAGTAACTCTCCAGCTTTAAATATTCCTCCATCCCGTACTATGGCCTCAGCCCTTGGGTCAAGCTTGGCATGGATTTCCTGAAGCCGCTGCGTTTTCTCCAGATCGTCCATCTGCCGACAGGAAATTCAATCTTACATTTTCAGTTTGATTAAATCATCTGAATGAACCAGCGAGCTAATCTGAGTCGGCAAAAATGGATGTTACAAGGAGATTTGTAAGATCCGTTTTGAAACGGTGATGGAGGTGGAGGTGTGCTTTAAAAAGAAGAGGAATGAACATCACTTAGACAAAATAAATGTGTGTGAATTGGAGGGAGTCAGGCGGAAAGATGAACATACAAAGTCTAAGTGTTTAAAAATGAAGCTGAGTTTTACTGAGTTTTAGTAAAAGTAGAGGAATAGTAAGGTCTTATTACTAAATGTTATTCTATTGAAACTAATAAATACTACATATTATGACTGTATTATAGTGTAATACATTATAAGACAGAAAATACGATGAGATTTTTCAGTAGATAGAAAACAGAAGGAAATCAGTCTTAGAAATAAACAAAGATCTCGAGTATGAGCTAAAAGCACTTGTGTGGAAGTTTAGAGCCTGTCGAACAGGGCAGGCAATTGTTGTCCTGTAAATGCTACAAATCCTCTCTCTGGTTAGTGAAACAAGTCGTCCACTTTACAGCTGAGGTAGGAGAACAAATGAATGCTGGGTTGTTAGCACAAGCTAAAAACTAGAGATCTAAAGCCCTAATCTAAGCGTCATTTAGGAAGAATGAGTGTTTGCACTGACTTGTACTTGATGTCTGAATGTGTAAGATTTAGAAAAGAACATAAATTCTTTGTGAGTTTGCTGATATTTGAATATGAAGAGAATGAATGACGCACAGATTATTGCACAGGGAGCAAACACTTCAGTACCTGTTGGTCTATTGAACTAAGCAGTTCTCTGATCATCAGCAGAGCCTGGGCCACAGAGGAAGCTTCTTCTTCATCATCTGGATAAAATAGAAACAATCATCTGATTCATCTCTAATTTCAGTAAAACTGTGAAGTTTGAATTTCATCTTCTGACAATTTTTTCAAAAGAAAGAAATATGAATTTGCATATATGAGTTTTAATTTACTAAATCCAGCTCACAAAAGCTTCATGTACCAAATATATTACCCTGGGTGTTAAAGGGTTAGGTTTACAGTAAATAACAGAAAAATGGAGACGAGGAAAAAGTTCCCATTGAAGCCTGGTTTTGCTTCGTTGTGTGGAACCATAAATGTTAGTTAAATGTGAAAACCAGCATTTTTTTAATTTTCTAGTGACATTGTAGATCTGAGAAAAGGAGGCAGATGACTGGGATGAGTCACCTGTTGTGTTGTCCAGAATGCGCTGAATAAGTGCAGGATACTTGAACATCCGCTGAGTCACCAATAAGATGCACTCTTGAACACCATGGCAACGTAGCAAGGGTCCTCGACTCACCTGCTGCTAAGAGAGAGAAAGGAAGCTTTAATTTTTCATCATTATTTAAAAGCGATCAGTTTGAATCATACACTCAGCAGAGCTGAAGTCAAAGGTATGACTTTTCTCCACGAAGTCATGGTTTCAACCAGCTTCCACGAGGGTGGCCTGAGGGCGCGACAATGTCTAGCTAGCCCTGTGCTAACTGTATCGACACTGTATCGACACTGTATGTGTGAGTGCATGATTGGCATTTGTCGCAGAATTGGCAGGTCCACCCTGGTATCCTGTGCTGTCCACACATAAGTGCAGGTTCACACTGAACACACGTGACATGCGTAAGAGGACCCGGAGAAGTCGTGGGGAACACTCTGCTGCCCGGACAAGTTTAGTGGTGGGCCAGTGATGGCCGGGGTGGCATGTCTGTGCTTCATCAGTACCTAAGATAAATGCACTGCCTGATAAAATGAACAGAACACTTTGGAAAAAAACATCAGATATCAATGGGGGGGGAAAGAATTCGCACACGGGTCTCTACAGGCTGAGCAACGCCATCCTGACCGTCGTTAAGTATCAGTGGGAATTCCTCTGCCCCACTGTACCCTGCACTGGTGCAGTGGGTAACTGGGCTGCTCCTGGTGCGCTTTATCTGGCGCAACTGTGCAGGCCGATGTAAAAGTAGATCCCCCAGGTCACCATCTGCAGTCTCATTAGGAGCATGTCCCAACATGGTCAGTCATACAAACTCCTGAGTACCGTTAGTAAAATGGGAGAGCCTGCTGCGCCATTCTTTAAATTCAGCCGTCTGTAGGTTCATAATTTCATTTCATTCCATCAAACAATGAGGCATCCTTTCATTCCTAACTCATTACCATCTGTACCAGTATCAGTATCCAGCATGAATGTTTTCCCCATTAAGATCTGATGTGTTTTCCAAGTGTTCTTTTAATTTTAGGGGGCAGTGAATTTATCTTAGGCACCGATGAAGCATTTCCTCCACTCTTCAATTGAAGCTGCGTTTTCTTTTTCTTGAACGTGTCCTCTTGTTCTGAAACAGCATTTTTGCCCTTTTTTTAACCAATTATAGCAGCGACATCTGCTTCCTTATGTCTTTCAGACATGCTCATTCAAACCCTTTAGCTCTCCTCCGACATGATCAACATCTTTAGTCTATGCTTAGTAAAATTAAAATGCCTTTAGTATGAAACATTGTAGGTGCCAAGTAAGCCAGTTATTTACTTATGCTTATTGTTGCTTTATTGTTCATATTTATTATGCTGCTGCGTCGTCAACAGCAGCACCAACAACAACTGGTAACAAGCCCTCGCGGTCACACGAGGCTGCTGATGCTGGAAACAGCTGTGGAGGAGTGCAGCAGGAAGGCCAGCAGTCCCAACAACAATATGAGGAAGAGACGGAGGAAGGTGAAATAATAATTAGAAAGTATAATTGGAACAAGTCTTGGTAGGTCGGTACGGTCGTTAACATATACATATGTCCATGCATGTGTCTCCTACCCGTATGAAGAACTGGAACTTCTTGTCTTTAGCGAGCAGCTCCTTGTATAATTTGACAGCCTTTAAGTGTCGGCTACAGAACTCGGCATAAGTCTTCTGCATGTCATCTGCAGACTGGCCTGAGAACTGGCAGAAGAACACAAACAAGTCACGTTACTGTGGATATGAGTCAGTAAGGGGAAGTCAGCAGAATCACAAACCTGCTCTACTAGAATATCCCCCAGCTGATGAATGGTGTAATTGTGGTTGGATCCAGGTTGCAGGCTGTTCTTGCGCCGCAGGAGAAGTTGTGCCAGAAACTGGGAATGTATCTTGATGAGCTGGTCCAGGCAGGGAAACATAGCATGCACGGTGCTGGGCTCTAACTGAAGCTCCTCCAGCATGCCCTGTCGAAACACCCTCTCCATGATCTGCAGTGTCTGCATGTGGTGCAGCTCTGTATGGATCAGCTCTAAGAGACACACACACGTATAACAAAGGTGAGATGAGATGCATGACAACCATTGCATATTTCTAAACGGTGACATACTTATTTGTTTTCTGTGTGTGTCCATATGCAAACACATGTATAACGTTTAGCAATAGACTGAACGTCTGCATATGAGGCAGAAATGATGAAAAATAGATCATGTTTTTGTCACCATAGATGACATCCTGCCTCTTGATAACATTTTTGCGATGTGTCTGTAAGTAACTGCTATCCACAGCCATGCTCCACGAGTCAGCCTTAAAGTCCTGGCCCTCAAGCTCGATCTCCTCCAGGACTGAGGCGTAGTACAGTTCTCCTAAAGAGGAAAAGAAGATCAGTATGAAAGACTGCAGACTCACAGATTATTGTTTATTTTACTATTATTATATGAGAGATTATTGTAGACTGAAGACAAAAGTTTGAACAGACGACTTGAGCTTTCTCCTGAAGGTTTGAAGATTCAACGACTTCTTCATGAAATGTGTCACGTTTCACTTCTACTGCTGTACAGTTGTATTCCACTACATTCAGGAAGAATGTTTATGAGGATCTTATTACCAATCGGAGCATGCACCAAACGGTTAACGGACTGGTTCTCATGTGGCACTTTTCTACTCTACCCGAGCACTCAAAGCGCTTTATACAACCAGGGTCATTCAGCCATTTATACAAGCACTTATTTTTTTATATGACAGTGCTTCCTGTCTAGCATTCACGCACATTCATACTCTGATGGATGCAACTTGGGGTCAGTATCCTGTCCAAGGATATTCGGCCCATTAAACCACCTGTGGACACTTGCTCCACCTCCTGAGCTGCAGCCACCCCCAACTACTAGTAGTTAAGCAATTATCTATTAAAGTTAAGCACCAAAAATGCATTCATGTTGACAAGCTTGCTTAAATTCTGGAAACATGCATTCATTTGTCACAATATTACAATAAGAAGGTGTGCAGGCGTGGACAGAACGTTCTGTCCACCTTATTAATCCATAAACTATCAGACAGATTATTGGAACTTGTACTCTTTGCAGTCTCCCATTCAGCCCTTACTTTCTATGTGGAAAATAGTCACAAGGAATTTCTTTTTTTAAATACCTACATTCTCCAGGTACACCTGTTCAACTGCTCATTTATGCACATATCTAATCAGCAGCATCAGTTCTCTGGGTGGAAATGGACTTCATGAACTGTTCTGGTTTGTTTTCTACTACAGTCCAGTGCATTATGATGTTGCTGGAAGAATGACCAGTCTTTGGCCTGCAGACTTGTGAGTATATAACATACATGTATAATTAACTGACTGTGAACACATGGAGCTGTCTAAGATTTTGTGCTGCTTGGATGTTTGCGATACCGTCATCATTGAGCGACTCCATCGACATCGTTCTGTTTCTGAAGCTGAGGGAGTCTGTTGACTGGGAGAGAATTCTGCGTAGTCCCAGGGGAGCATCATCATTCAGCGACCTGCAGCACACACATGCATGCAGGTATTATTGGTGCCTAACTATTGTGCATGAAATAAATGTAGCGGCAAACAAACTGGAGAACCAAACAGAGCCAAATGTTAAAATAATAAGAGGCACCTTGAACAGTGGTGTTTAATGCATAGAGATTTCACTGGCTGCACACCAACTCATACATTTTGGAGTTGGGAATGTTGGTGTTTTGATTGACAGACATACTGAAACTGACAGTTTCCAACTAAGTTTGTGGGTTAACTGAAAATTTCCTCGTGTATATATATTAGCGTGGAGCCATATAAAATGCCAGCACAAACTCAACAAATCAGTGTCAATCCCAGACACAGTGGATGAGCTCTTTGGTTTCGAACAAACATGGAGTGGAGGGTTTGTAATAGATTATCTTTTTTTGAAGGTTTTCTGCTCTTTTTGGGTGTATGTGTCACAGAAAAAGAGCAACAAGGCTGCACTGTTCGCACGACTTCACGGGGGCCATGTGTGCCTCCTGTAACCCCCACCGGTCTCTGTGTCCAGTTTGCATATCTTAGTCTGGGTCTCGGGCCTTCACAGTTTTTCCTTCCTACTGTCGCTAAGTGCTTGTTGGGGTTTTCTCAGTATTGTGGGGTTTTGCAACATAAAGTGCCTTGAGGCGGCTGCTGTTGTGATTTTGTATCGGAAAAATAAACTGAACTGAGCTGAATTCAAATCAGGTGGAGCAGAGTAAATTTTGCAATCTGAGATATTATCACACCGTCCCTGTGAGCATTTACAAAACTTGTATACATCTTTATCATTGCCAGTGACTGTAGCATGAAGATGGATAATCTTCATCATCATCTGTCTGTCAGCCACAGTCTGTTCTGTGCCTCACTCATCAAAAACATTGGCATGTTGGGGGAAAGCAAGCATGAATACTCATGGTTGCAGCTCAAAATCATCTTGAATTAGCTTCATGACCTTTCCTGTCCCACCATGTGACAGTGAGTGACCACGGTTAAGGTCACATACTGTGTTTTTAAAAGATCATTTCCTGTCCTGCTTTTTATGCATTCTTGGTGTTCGCTGAACATTCGACAAAGCAAATCCAAACTAGTGGATGTGACTGGTTTCTGTCCTTAATCCAGCAAACCAGCGTGCACTGATGACCTCAGGTAGCTTTAACCAAACAACAGAGCAACACTAATATTTGCGCTGTGTTTATGACCCACCCTACGATGTTGTTGGTGGAGACGCTCTTGGACAGGGATAGGTGAGAGCGGCCACGGCGTGATCTGAGCAGAGATTGTCGGAAGCTTTCAGAGGGGTAAATAGCTGAAGTTGGACGTTCTCGCATTCCTTGAGCTGAGAGGAGAAAATAGTTGTATTATAAAGAGAATTGGCTGAAGAAAGGGAAAAATATTCCAACATGTTAGCAAGCTAAAGAGGATTTTAATGATGATGGAGGAACATACTGATAAAGAGATAGATAGGAGGGAGGAAGGAAAGAAGACAGGACGAGAGTGAGGCAGAATATGCAGTTCATTTCTTAGATTTGTTCCATTGTTCTTACTTTTTGCACGCAGTGGAACATTGTTCTTCATCAGGGCCGTCTTCTGTTGCTGAAAGGACAAAAACTACAATTACAGGAGCACAAAAATGAAACAAAGAGAGTTTTTAGGTCAGTTTAGCTACCAGAATAAATTCACCATTCATTATATTTAATGTTGATTGAGAACTCAAAAGCAAACTGTTAGGAATAAATAAAAGGAACTAAAGCAAAAAGAGGATATATTTTGACAGCGAATGCGCACCTACGGACCACTTATGTGCAGCCCTGTGTATAAACCTCTAGTACACAGAGAACCAGTTGTGAAACGCACAGTTAAAAAATGGTCGGCAGAGACTGAAGAGGCCCTGAGGGACTGTTTCCGTTCTACTGTGTGGGACAACCTCTGCAGCCCTTTGGAGGATGACCTCAGCAGCATCACAGACTGCATTACGGATTACATGAACTTCTGTGTGGACAACACCGTACCCATCATGAAGGTACGGTGTTTTTCTAACAAGCCATGGATAAATCCTGAAATAAAGCCTCTCCTCAGGGAGAAGAAGAGAGTCTTTAGATCTGGAGACAAACAGGAGCTGAGAGCTGTCCAGAAGAAGCTGAAATGGAAGATAAGGCAGGGGAAGGAAAACTACAGCAGGAAGGTGGAAGAGCAGCTGCAACAGGACAACATCAGAGGGGTTTGGAACAGCCTGAAGACAATCTCAGGACAAAAACCAACCCCCCAGGCTGCAGGAGACTTGGGGTGGGTGAATGACCTAAATAAATATTTTAATAGGTTTGATCACCACCCAGCATCGTCCCCCCTGCTGCAATCTCCTTCATCTTCAGGGACTGCCTGTCCTTCATCTCAGGACTTCACACCTCCCAGCTCCTAGTCATTACACCCACCCCCGGCTTCTGTGGACTCCAACATACACACCCCTCCCCCAAAATCCACTCTTTCTATCTCAGCACTTCAAGTGAGGATGAGCTTCGCAAGATCAAGGTGCGGAAGGCTGCAGGTCCAGATGGCATCAGCTCCAGGCTCCTGAGATGCTGCGCAGATGAACTGTGTGGCATCCTAGGATATCTGTTCAACCTGAGCCTGTCACTGGGGAAGTACCACAGCTGTGGAAGACCTCCTGTGTGGTACCGGTACCAAAGACCTCCCATCCCAAGGACCTCAGCAGCTACAGGCCGGTAGCCCTGACATCACATCTGATGAAGACCCTCGAGAGGTTGGTTCTAAACCATCTGCGCCCCCTGGTGCAGACTTCTCCATCAACTCCCCACGCTGCCACCTACAGAAGTTCTCTGACGACTCTGCCATAGTCGGCCTCATCACAGGTGAGGACGACTCAGAGTACAGACACTGGACTCTGGACTTTGTTGACTGGTGTCAGCAGAACCACCTGCTGATCAACGCCGGGAAAACCAAGGAGTTGGTGGTGGACTCCGGAGACGCAGACCCACCACACTGACACCGGTGAACATCCAGGGAGTGGACATTGAGATAGTGGACTCCTATAGGTACCTGGGTGTTCACCTGAATAATAAACTGGACTGCAGCCACAACACGGATGCTCTTTACAGGAAGGGTCAGAGCAGACTCTACCTGCTGAGGCGGCTGAGGTCATTTGGAGTCCAGGGAGCGCTTTTAAAGACCTTCTATGACTCTGTGGTGGCATCTGTCATTTTTTACAGTGTTGTATGTTGGAGCAGCAGTTTATCGACAGCTGAGAGGAAGAGGTTGGATAAACTCATCAGGAAGGCCAGCTCTGTTCTGGGATGCACCCTGGACCCAGTGCAGGTGGTGGGAGACAGAAGGACTCTGGCCAAAATAACATCTCTGATGGACAGAGTCTCCCACCCCATGCATGTAAATGTTGCTGAACTGCAGAGCTGCTTCAGTGACAGACTGCTGCATCCTCGATGCATGAAGGAGCGTTTCCGCAGGTCCTTCCTCCCTGCAGCTGTCAGACTGTACAATCAGACCTGCTCCCAACAAACAGATGTTTACATCAATGCTGTAACTGCAATAAGTTAGTTAATTAACCAATTCGCACTACAACCTGGTTTGCCTCTTATCTGTATTTAATTTTATTTAATTTCAATAACTGTACAGTACTCTGCTTTTGGTAACTATTGTCCTTGTTGTAATTATGTAAAAATTGTGTATGTTTCTGTTCTGTGTCTTGTGTACTGTTTGTTTGTATATGTGTCTCTCTTGCTGCTGTCACACCCAAATTATTCCATTGTGGGAAAATTAAAGTAACTCTTAAATATTATCTACAGCTACTCTTAGTACCATTGATGTTAAGTTAGACTCTTTTTCTCCAATTGATCTTTCTGAGTTAACTTCAATAATTACTTCCTCCAAACCATCAACGTGTCTTTTAGACCCCATTCCTACAAAACTGCTCAAAGAAGTCCTGCCATTAATTAATTCTTCGATCTTAAATATGATCAACCTATCTCTAATGATCGGCTATGTACCACAGGCCTTCAAGCTGGCTGTAGTTAAACCTTTACTCAAAAAGCATCTCTAGACCCAGCAGTCTTAGCTAATTATAGGCCAATCTCCAACCTTCCTTTCATATCAAACATCCTTGAAAGAGTAGTTGTCAAACAGCTAACAGATCATCTGCAGAAATGGTCTTCTTTATAGTACTGACAGGCACTAGAAAGAGAGAATATTTCTCCCATATTGGCTTTGCTTCATTGGCTCCCTGTTAAATCCAAAATCAAATTCAAAATCATTCTTATCACGTACAAGGTCTTGCTTCATTTTGCCCCGTCTTATCTTAATGACCTTATAGTACTATGTTATCGCATTAGAGCACTTCACTCTGCACTCAAAAAAAGAAAATTGGGTGGTTGTTACATTTACAAAAGTATAACTTGTAATTTGAAGAAAATAATTTCATGTTTCTGTGGTAAACATGATTAAATCATGTAGGATCTGTATGAAATTCAACTTATTTTGTTCTTGTTGAGATGACATGATACAATCTAGTAAGAGTGGTTAGTTGCTGGACTCATGAAATTCACAAGATCACGGGTTATAAGAGGCAGACAACTGCCCACACCATGAATATGCTATCACTATTTATTGTGGTTTAACCTGTCAAAGACAAAAACATAAAGAAAATTCTGCATCAAGCCTTGTAATAAGTAAGTAAACATAATACAGTCATAAAATACACCATGAAAACCCTGGTCTAATTAAAAGCTTTTTGAAATAAAAATGTCTTTAGCTGCTTTTTGAAGGTCTCCACTGAGTCCAAACCCCGTAGAAATAGGGGAAGTGCATTCCACAATCTGGGTGCAACAGCTTGGAAAGATCGGTCCCCTCGGGTTTTAAAACGAGTGTGGGGGACCACTAAAAGGTTTTGGTTTGCTGACCTCAGGTTACGAGTGGAGGTATGTGTATGAATCAGATCAGCAATGTAGGGGGGTGCCTGTCTCTGTAATGCTCTAAAAGTTAAAACTAGAATTTTAAAATGGAACCTG